TTTTTTTAATTAAGCGTAAATAATATTAAATGAATTTGTAAATGTTTTATGGAAATGGTAAAACGACGATTCAAATTTATTGTTATATAATTCCAATTAATAATACAGTAAGACCTTGCTTAATTCTGATTCAGTATTACGATTATAGATTTGTAACAGTTCGGCAATCAACGTTATTTTGTGGTATGTTTAAAGTTGTTTCGTTCAGCGTATCCTTGCGTTAAGCGAGAGTCTTACTGTATATACATATGCAAGTTTGACTACGGTCAAATTGGCCGTAGTGGTAGGTTTAGTGTTAATTACGTATTCGTATTTTCCAATTTGAAAAAATATTTTTTAAATGTTCCGAATGAGAAATATCCGAATTCTGTAGTATAATAAGTTATCATAATTTGAAAAAAAGAAACTTCATATATATTTACATAATACATATATTATGTAATGGTTTTTCAGTTGTGACCTGATATGTAATTATGAATTACTATTTTTTTTAATTTTTTAAAACAAATTATTTGGAAATATTCATCATGTGAAAACATATATGATAAAAATGTTTATAAAAAATAATAAAATTTACTAATTATTAAGTGGTTTGCTCTTATATAATATAGGCGACAAAATAATAAAATAATTCCATAAATTTATTTGATTGTTTCTTCATAACTTTGTTGTACATAGAAGGTAAATGTGTTAAGAGAAATTAAATAAATGATTTAATTTGTACCACCAAATATTTTAATATTACCGCCATCTAGCTGTCAAATTTGATTTTTTTTAATCCTTTAAAAATGCAGTACATTTACCTTTCAATGTATTATTAAAGAATCACGCATATTTATGTCATAAGCTGTCAAATTTACGTATCAATTTATATATAACAATCACAAATATAAGTGTAGCTTTAACCGTATTTGTGTTATAAGCTGACAAATTTGAAAAAAAAAAATAATAAACGCAATATCTTTTTGTTTTATTATATTTCTCAATGACTACACTTGTCAATTATAATTGAATTTACTAAAATTGAAGCCTAATTAACATGCTTTAATTTGAGTATACAACCAGATTTACAGCTGTTACCGTTTATGTATAATAAGCAGTCAAATTTGAAAAAATATTTTTTCAATGTAAAAGTTAGGAAACTATGAAAATGTTAAATTTTGTTGTATTGCTGCAATATTAATATTCCACACACGCTAATTGTAATATTCTGAATTAATAATAATAATAATCTTTATTAGTCACAATTGTAACCAAAGGGCTATCGACCTAAGTCTTTTCGCCTATTCTGAATTAATTGTTTTGTAAATACAAATTTCTGTTGTGTGTAAGAACAACTTTGATTATGTGGTGCGTTGTAAGCACTTAGAATCTGGTGCGATACGAAAAAATAAAAAATAAATTTTATCATTATTTTGTCAGCTATATTTTATAAGAGTAATATCTTCGTCAGTATTAACTCAATAAGTGTCGAGTGAGGGTGAGTGCATTTTTTAATTATTAAAATAAAATATTATTAAATTTGTAGAAAGTCACCAAATTTACAGTTATTAGTTAAACATTATTATTAATATAAGAATGATGTTATTGTTTTTTTTAATTAAGCGTAAATGAATTTGTAAATTTTTTATGAAAATTGTAAAACGACGATTCAAATTTATTGTTATATAATTCCAATTAATAATAAAGTAAGACCTCTCTTAATTCTGATTCAGTATTACGATTATAGATTTGTAACAGTTCGGCAATCAACGTTATTTTGTGGTATGTTTAAAGTTGTTTCG